TAATAAATTTGTTATATACATCATATATTGAATGATTAGTTGAATACATAATTAATAAACTGATTGGTTTATTATCTCTTTTCTGCGAAAATTCTCATGTTGACATTGGGTTTCTTTTGTTTATGTAGCTTTGTCCTTTTTTCCTCAACATTTCCTTCCTTTGGTAGCGATGGTGTTGATGAATCATTTTGTAAAGAACACCTTCGCCAATCGGGTACATTTTCAGATCTAATACCTTTAATAAAGCAGGTATTATTGATGTCACCAATCTCTTTTGCGATTTAAATGTTTCATTAATATTAAGTTGATTATTTTTCAGCATTCGTTGGATGTTTCAGAAGACATCCCGCTAAATATTTATTGATTTTAATTAATAAAATCCATAAATAAAAATGATCTGAAAAAAATAATTTACTTACACGTAAAGTATTACACAGATCTTCTGTTAAATCTGATAAGTGGAGGTATATTACTTTTCTGAAGACATTGTTCGAATTATCATTTTCTTCAGCACTTGAACGAGATGCCGATCATTATCATTTTCATTCATTTCTTAACTTCTTTTTTTCTGTCTCATTATCACTGTCTAAAATAATTGGATTATCCAAATTATCCTAGGATTTAGAAGAACTCGCAATGCCATATTCTTCAGATATTTTGTGAACGGCCAGCTTTTACCAATTGATTTATTTGACACAGATAATTTACTTGTATTTACATTGCTGAAATTTAGAATTAAATCCTTCGGGTTTATCTCCTTTTATTTTCCTCTTTTGACCTGTTTTATATATTTCAATAAATAATTCGCTTGATCTTGTTCGGTAAATGAATCTTTTAAAATAGTAATGAAAAGATGTAACAAAGACTGCATAATCATACAACATTATATTATTATAATAAAAGCTTACCAATTTCAATATATTTATTTCTGGAATGTTTCTCTTTAATTGCTGCTTCTAATTCTGGATCTAATTTTAAAGAAAATTTGATATTTTTTCTAGATTTAGGGGATGAACTACTACTGCGACTCTTAGAATTTTTCAGCTTTCTAGGTTCAGGAGACGAACTGCTACTGCAGCTCTTAGATTTTCTTAGCTTTCTAGTTCAGGTGACAAACTGCTATTACGGTTTCTTTAATTTTTCGATTTTTGACTCTTCGATTTTCTGAATTCTAAGGGCTCACGACTTTCCAATTTTTTAGAATCTGGGAGTTCACGACTTTCAATTTTCTGAAATCTGGGAGCTCACAACTTTTCGATTTTCTGGAATCCGGAAGCTCATAAATTATTAGTTCTAACGACTTTGTACTTCTTGTTTTGGATTTGCCTCTTTCATGACTCTTAAATTTTCTCGTTGACATAGTGAATAAATTTCAGAAGGTAGAATGAAATAACTAATGTTAAATAATTAATAAAATATAAAAAATCAGGAGAAGTTTGAAAAATTGTTTCTTTTATATCTCTGAAAACAGACTTTTTTATATCAATCGTTATAAATTAGACTTTCTGAATTACTATAAAAATGGACTTTTAAGCTTTTAATGTAATGTATTCTTAAAAATCATAATTAATTAACTACAGTATCAAAATCATATAACAAAAATCATACTTTCAGACTATTAATCATAATCTCAGACAATTGATCAATTAATTATTTTTAATAACCTTTTATCAATCAGACTAAACATGTAACTTTATTTTTAATTTTTTAAAGAATAATAAATCAGACTAATCATGCAACGATATAAATTATTTATTAATAATTAATTTACAATCAAGTATTTATATACTGTTAAATCCTGTCAAAATTTATATTATTTGTCTCTTTATCTCTTTTTAATTAAACGATGCACTCAAGAAACAAAGTTAGTTGTCCTTGTAGTAAATATAATAAAAAATTGACTGATTCTAGAACGCAAAAAAACATATAGAAATAGAACAACAGATGGAGACTCGATATGAAACATCATCAAAATTAATGAAAGTAATATCGAAAAAAGTCTGGCAGGATAATGATAACAAAAAAACATCAAAATTGAACTCTTCAGAAGTCTCAAATTCAACTAATTTGTCAGATTCAGCCAATTTATCTAGTTCTTCAGAAGACATAAGTTTGGAACAAGGACTGATTTCTGTTCAAACTAAACGAAGAAAAAATAAAAAATTTAAAGAATTGGAATCAGAAGCTGATGATAAACCTTATTTAGATTTTATATTATCTGACGAAGAATCTATATTAAATAATGAAAGTGAAGATTCTGAAAATTCTGACGATAATGAAGGAGATTTTTCTCAGAATGAACGATTTATAGCTCCCAATTGGGATGATTTTGATGACAGTAATGATTTTACATATCTTAATCCAAGTACTGAGTTTTCTGAAACTTGGATATTATTATGGATATATAAATTTCAATTGAGATTTCATCTATCTGATGTCGCTATAAATTCCTTGATTGCATTTTTCGGTCAAGTGTTAAAAGATGTCGATCTAAAGCAATTTCATAAATTCCCATCCTCATCTCACAATGCAAAGAAATTGTTACAAATTGAAAAGATTGCAAAAACATATGTTGTATGTCTAAAATGTAACAAATTACATAATTATGCAGAAATTTCAAAAGATAATAAATGTAAATTTGTCGAGTTTCCTAATCATCCAATGAAGAAACATTGGCAAAATATGGAACAGCACTACTAAAAAATATTTTAGTAACTAATGGTTACATAAAACGCCCTGTATGGTATTTCCTAAGCTGGATTTGAAATCTCAGATTTTTGTGATATATCAGCATCCCGACTTTGAACATAATATGACAAAGTGGATACATCAGCATGTTGATGAAAATGTACTGGCTGATATTTACGATGGAGAGATGTGAAAGACATTCCCATCGTCAGTTGAACCAGAAAGCAGTCTGTTTTTTGTACCTGAGTTTGCAGATTCACATCTTGGAATAATTATTAATATTGATTAGTTCCAGCCATTCAATTCTTTGATATATAGTACTGGAGCGATATATGGCATTATCTGCAACCTCCCTCGTAAATACATTTTTGACAAGAAAATATGTTAATATTGGGTTTGTTGCCAAGACCTAATTAAGTTCAGACCTATAAAATAAATCATTACCTATTACCGATTGTTGATAAATTACTTAAATTCTAGACAGGTGTTGAATTACAAAGAATAGCAAGTTATCTGAGTAGCAGAATAATTCGAATGGCAGTTATTTGCTGTAGTAGTGATATTCTGACAGCAAGAAAATTATGCAGACATATATCAGTGTTGGCTGCTTGTCATCGATGTCATAAGGTGGCCAGTAGTCATAATAAAGAAGAAAGACCTAATTTCAGTGGCTTTGATGACATGAATGATTAGTTTAGATAAGGGATTTAGAAGCATTCTGACGAAATGCTCTTGCTTGGCATAGGTGTCAAACACAAGAAGAAAGGAAGAAACATGTCTCTAATACATTTGTTAGATGGATAAAGCTACTTAGATTACCTTATTTCAATCCAATTCAGTATTATATTATAGATCCTATGTATAACCTGTTCTTGGGAATCGCTAATTGGATTGTAAAAAGATTGTGAATCAATGGTAAAAAAATATCTAAAGATGATCTTGAATTAATGGAAAAACGTTTCAAAGCAATTAAAATTCCAGCTGATTTAGGACGGATTTCTAATAAAATTGCTACAGGTGAAGGCTTTTCTGGATTCACTGCCAACCAATGGAAAACCTTTATCTTGGTATACGCAACACTATTAATGTGAGATTTGTTATCTATTTCAGATCGACAAATTTTAGCAAATTTTGTCAGGGCTTGTACTTATTAATTTGTAAAGTCATTGATAATAGTATGCTAAACGTAGCCCATGCACGTTTACTTAAAGTTAGTCAGCTTATAGAAGAACATTATGGTCGACAATTAATCACGTCAAATATTCATCTCTCTCTCCATCTTGCTGAATGTTATCGAGATTATGGCCTGTTATACTCTTTTTAGTGTTATTCGTTCGAAAGGATGAATGGTGTATTAGGTAAGCATTTAAATTACAAATTATAGACCTTTTGGCTAGTTTATACTTATGTTGATTTATTGATTTAACTCTTTAGGATCCTTTCCTAATTCTCAACGTTGTATCAAACAAGAATTGTTAAGAATTATAATGTAAAATTATAAAATCGACAACCTAATTTTCATTCAACAAAATAATTCGAAACTTATTAATGGGCTTAAATTAATCAGATCTCAGAAAACTTTAGGATTATTGACTACATACGATGGTTTTAATGCTGAAGAATTGCTCCAATTCAGAAGGTCGTTTTGTCATGAATTAGGAGATACAATCACTGGAAGTGAATTATTTCCAGGAGAAATATTATTTCCAATCAATGAACAGGTTGATTTACCCAATAATGTATTTAAATAGTTGATTACTTATTATAATGAAGCATATGATGATATGAATGTTGAATTCATTTCAATGACTGATTTAATTGAAAAAGGGTTACAAAATAATTTATCAAATCGCTATTCAATTGTTCAACCAACAATTAACCTATGTGGATGAATTTGAATAGCCGCTAAAATTTTCAGTTTTGCATTATCACTTCAATACAAGAAGAATTCATATATTTTGGCATTGTTTGCCTAAAGTGACAATTCAATAGAATTATTCTCAAGACAAGTTCAATTTTTTTTTTGAACATACATTGCAGTTTCTGAATGGTATTATCAAGACGCATAGGCTTGCCTATGTTAAGTAGTATCTACCAGTTAATGATCATAAAACCAGATTTCATTGTCGAATTGAAGAGGATAATCGAAGTGTTAATATTGAACTTTGGAAAATTACCGAATTTTATGATTTATCTCAGGATAGCATAATTCTAATACATAATATCTACAATCAGTTTGTTTCCACTAATTTTGTCATTAAAAAAAGAAAACAAACAGTAAATCTTATATGGTAGTAATACTAATTAATAGGCAGTTTCATTTATAATTATTGTCTGTCATAATCATTGTTTTAATTTTATTACAATCATTTTATTGCTAACTTAAATAAATGTACTATAAATCGGATTTCATTTATTTTAATTTTTATGAATCAGTTATTTAATAACATTTATTCAGAATACCTTATCGATTGTGTCAACTAAGCTAATTGTCGATTGGTTTATATATGATTAAACTTCGATTTACTTGTATGGGTATCCTATCGATCACCTGTTTTTATTGTGAACAAGTTTTTTATATAGTATTTATCAGGTTAACTGGTTAGTTTAATAGTTATCAATCGGGTTAATACTGATTAAACTTT